TCCAAAATCCAACCTGTCTTTATTTGCTTTTGCAATCATATCCAATATTTTGTCGACTATTGGATTTTCAATTATTTTCTTTTTATAAGTATCTAAAATAGGATCTAAATAAAAGCTCTTACCGCATTTATAATCAGCTTTTTCTATTGCTTGCTCAGGCTCAATGAGTACTGATCCTTTGTATCCTTCACAAGTATGTTTTATGATGCCGGATAGTAGTAACAACCCACGGCATGAAATTCTTGGTTCTTTTAGCTGGTTTAATTGCTATAATGCTGATTTTAGAGCGGTTTTCGTGTGATTTTGTACGACTTTTGATTTAATATTTGAGACAAGGCCCAATTCACTGGTTAGTTTTTGTTTACTAAGGCTTACTCTACCATTTGGAAAAATATACATAGATATCAAACTAGTGCCTCCTGATAGAGATTGTTGTTTGGCTAAGAGACGGATAAAATCTTCCATATATACATATATATATATATTATGTATATAATTATGGAATATAAAAAAGGTGTGTTAAATAGATACTGACTTGTTTTTAGTTTGTGATAATTCTATTTTTCAATTCGGTGGATAACTTTATAATGCATTTTTAGTGTGTCCTTATTAAGCAATTGTTTGATACAATATTTACACGGTACTCTGATACCTTTCATAAAATCATGAATATTTTTGCTAATCTTATCATAATCATTACTGAGTATAAATGCATAGCCATTATTAACGTACTTTTTCTTCATCTCCTTTTGTGCTTCTGAAACGTGATAATTATTAGTTGAATTCAATACAGAGGCCTTTATAATCTTTGTGATAATCGAGTACCATTAGATCAGGTTGTCCTCTCATATATCCTTTCTTATATGAATCTAGTCTCTTATCCTCAGTATCCTGATTTTCACCCAGACCGGCCACTAATATGGAATCTGGATAATATCTCCTTATGAGGTCCACTACTTTATAATGGAGGTCAGTCTCATTGCTAATCATAATCATTTTATTCCAGGGACTATCAAACAGTTTGTATTGGCCATATTTACGGATTGATGGGAATACCGTGGAGAATACCCAATCTTGGAATTTTTTAGCTGTCTGTAGTTTTGAGCCAAAAACAAGAGCGTAAAAACCGGGTTCATTGATAAAAGTATACCAACGGACCTGACCCAGCGTTTCACCGGGTGAGGTTTGTGGGCATTTTATCTTATACTTTTTATCAACATGCCGTCTAAGAGCATCATCAGTGTCACTACATCCAAGGATCTTAGCAACATCTTTTCCTCGGAACCAAACATTTTGCTTATTATCAATAAATGGTGTCAGCTCAATTTCTAAATCTTCATTAACAAACTTTTTGTCAATCATACTTATCATATCATATGGTTACATAAATAATATATAGATTTAGCCAGGGCTAAAAGCGAAGCTCCTATATATTAACTCGAATTTATAATTTAAATCAAACAATAAACTTGTTTTCCACAATTCAGTAAACTTTAGAGCTTATTCATGTGACTTTTGAGGGAAAGGTTAAGTGATTTTAGAGAAAAGTAATTTGCAAACAGTACAAGCTAAGAGTGAACTTAATCGTACATCGAGTTGATAGCCTTATATGTACACCCAAAAAATAGCAATCATGTGCGATCACATTTAAGAGCGCGGGCTCTTGACCACAGTAGATTAGGCCTAGAAAACAAATTCTTGGAAAACAAATCAGGCCGAATTTTTTGCGTTCGACAAGTTTACTTTACAAAATCTTGCCAACATGCCTGGGGACGTGTAACCCAACCTTTAATACTTTTTATACATCACATCTGAGATGAAAGAGTACCATGAGGCGCTGTTTTTATCATACAGACCTCGGACAGAATGCAGTATTTCACAATTTTGCAATACAAATTGCACTCACTCAATATTCAGGACGATCGACGCACGTGTGGAAACCGTTAAAAATTTTTCCAAAATCACCTATACGGCTAACCGGTTCTCACTTTTGACAAGCGCCAAAGTCGACTGTTTAAATTATGATTAATAGAGTTATACGCTTCAACATAATAAAGAATTTATTGTGTTTATTTTTTATTTAATGGTTTTATAACGATGTGTAATCGTCAAAGGCGTTTGATACGCGTGGCATTTTGACTACTCCTGCATGCAAGCGATGTTCATGAGCGACTGAAAACAAACTGCACGGCGATAAAAATTGCAAAAGAGACTACTAACAATCAATAAAAGGAAAATAATTCGGTGAAACATATACAGAGACAACAATTTTCATTCACGAAGACAAGTATTAAAGTGTCTCTGAAAATCCTTGTCTATGTTTTTCATTTTGTAAGCCGGCTTCCCGGTGTTTGCTTTTTCAAAGATGAACTGGAGGCAAGAAAATCGCTCGAAGCTTTCTTTTACAGCCAGAATTATAACTAAATATTCTTTGGAACGTTTACTTTCTTTCTATTTGCGGTGAGAAAATGTCTAAAGGCTTTTTAAAGTTCTATAAGCTTATAATCAAACCTGATACTCGGTCAGATTATTGTCTCAAATCTTACAATTAAAAACGTGCATAAACTAAATAGCCGCATAAACTACGCTCGACTTCATTAAATTAGATATAAAAGACAAATGTCAAATGCAATAATTACTCAGGCTTACCATTCGAGATGCGCTGAAAACTATCAAGTAAGGCCAGAATCGCTTCAGACTTTTCAACCCTCTTACGCATCAAGCAAGGTGGAAAACGAAAACGATGCCATCCGAAATCGGATTTGCGACTTTGACAAGCGACGTATTTCTCAACCAAAAACCCAGTAAACAAACTAGCCATGAATAACAGAAGACTCTTGATAGCAGCTGAATTTCATTTTGTACATTCAGTGGAAAAAGACAGTTAAAAACATCACAAGTTGACACAAAACTCTGTCTTCAGCAAAATAAACAAGTTTCAAGATGCTGCATAAATTTTCCGCATGAACTCACCTGTCAAATTTTGACCAATCAGAGCATAAAAAATTGGACGTAGAGCGTCACCAACGCGTGACCTTGGTGAGAAAAGTCAAAAGCAACAGGCATGTCTTCCCTGCCTGTAAAAACTGGCTGAATTTTAGCTTCCGAGGTCAGTTTGAAATCAACATTTTAATTGTGCGGCACATACAAAACACAACATATTTCATATGAATAAAAAAAACAAACTTGAGCCTGCGATCATTTGAAAACTAGTAACTTGTCAGCGGATAACTTCAAAAAGATATTCAACCTCGATGGGTCGACACCTGAGCCCGCGATACGGTCAGGTGGTACTGGTCAGCGGATACCCTCTTTTGACAGCTGTCAATTGGTCACAACATTGATGTGCAATATATGTGTGCAATATCAGTCTTCCTGTGCTCCCAAACTGGCTAGAAAGTGTGAGGATTAAACACTGGTTTCCCTGTGGTGCGGACGGACGGGCGGGCGGGCGGTGTACGGTCACGTGATTACCAAATTTTCTGGGATGGGTAGATTTACTTACCCATGGTGCTCCGCAGGCGCGCTTCGCGCGCCAGAGCTCCGCTATTATCATACAGACCAAAAATATGATAAGTATGATAGATTAAAAAGTATGCTAGGCCTGAGGTGCCGTTACAGCACATTAGACCTGGGGCGTCGTTTGACACCCCCAGTAAAGCTATCTCATTTTTGTTTTTCTCCAGTGTCATTTTGTTGAGGGGACGAAACGTCCACGCCAACATTTTGAACCTGACCCGTCCAGACGACGGGGCAACATTTGGGGTGTTTCGTTGGCGCTCCGTTTTGGGTACGGCAACAAATTAGCTGTTTATGGTTATCCTTACTCTTCCTCCTCTTCCTCCGTTTCAAAGATCGTACCTAGAACGCCGGTTAATGTCATCTCAGCTGATTCCAGCTTTTTGGAGATTAATTTCTTGTGGTATAATGTCGCAATCTCTTCTTCCAATTTTTGGATTTTAGTAAATAGTGCATTAAGCTCGGTTTCCTTACTCTGGATTTTAGTATCAAGCTTTCTTATATGATCTTCCATATATACTATTAGTTAGATAATTCTTGCAGGTTGCTCAGTGGAATCCAGCTATTAAAGTCGTCATTATAGCCCAACTATTTCACAAGAGCTTGTTTCTTCTTATAATCCCTCCGAATGACCTTTTCAATGCAGAATACGTCCTGTTTTGCTGGTAGTAATTCTGGCTCATAAAAGCTGCCTTGTATTTCCTCATTATTGAGATCTTTTAATCTGTAGGTAATTGGGTTTGTGGATTGGATTTTATCGATCAGGAATATCTCCTCTGTCCAATTAGGTGTGTACCCTTTATCAAACACCTTTCTCTTGTACTTACTTATCCTCACTTTATCACCAACCTTGAATTAGGGCTTAGATGACAATTGCTTCATATCACCATATAGATTGTAATACACGGTACTTTCATTCTTCTTCTTACTAGCTTCTACAGGTGTCATTTTAATGGAGCTGTGTTTGGTGTTATTATACTGACTCAGTATTTTTGGTAGTATGTCTAAATATATGGTATTACCCTGGACAGTAAACTGTTTCCACATTTTGGTTTTAATTGTACGGTGCCATCTTTCACACACACTAGATTTTTCCTCATTCTCGGTTGAATATATTGTTATGTTATTCTTTTCCAACAGTTCTTTCATATTTTTGTCATAATATTCTTTCCCCTTATCAGTCCAAAGATATTATGGTTTACGGCCCTCTTTAAAGATTGTTTTGAATGCTTCTGTGACAGTTTCTCCTTTCTTATCCTTTAATGGGACAATCCAGCCATATTTGGAAAAGAGATCTAGTACCATAAGGAGGTGTCTGTAACCCTCTTTCCACTTGCTGAACTGTTGCATCTCAACCAGATCTGAGCACCAAATTTTGTCAATACCGGTTGTAATAACACGCCGCCGAGTAAAGTTGTGCTTTATGGGTTTATGTAATTCATCCGCTAATTGTTGTTGCCAACTGCTACCCGACGGCTTTTCTAGTTTAAACCAAGACCGAGTTTCTTTTTCGTGTTTATTAGATTTCTAGCTAACCAGTGTCCCCATTGTCGTTCATTATAGGGAATGGCGTCTAATGATTTTACCATTTTACGGTCAGCTTTATTTTTGCGCTTTCGGTTATCACCATAAACACTATAATGAATATCGTGCTGCATGGCCACTGCATCGGTTGGCCCAGTTGGTTGATCATAAATTTCTAATATTTCACCAGTTTCTGGATTGTATCTTACTTGGTTTTCGAGATCGTTGTAGGGGCCAGTGTATTTATGCCCTGGTAATGTCCAACCGCCTGCGGGTCTTGGTAATTTTCCAATGGCCTTGTGAATATCCAAAGCACCTCCATCAAGATCTTTCCTGCTTGTTTTGTAGTTTTTCTTTGGTCGTATTTTGGTTGATAATTGGTCAAGAGCTTGAGACCCCACATTCTGGATCATCGGATTTAATTTATCCAGAGCGTAGTCGATAGCTTTTTTCTGTAACTTTTTATTGCGTAATGTTTCTGACCCGTAATATCTTCCCATCTCAACTGCTTTTTTACCCATCCATGGAAGCCCGTGATGTACAAACGCATCAAGAGCAGTACCAGCTACTGTGTCTATTACGCCTGCCCCTAGGACAGGCTGATCTAGTTTCCCTTCTTGACAAACTTAAACTTTTTTATTCCGCATTCAGCGCAAGTGCACCAAAACATAAGTCTACCATTTTTGGCAGTTTTGTAACCCGAAGGTTCTACACATTCTGTTTGCTTCTTCTGTTTAACACAATAAGATTTCACCATTATTATATATTTATGTTATATAATTATNTGTCAATACCGGTTGTAATAACACGCCGCCGAGTAAAGTTGTGCTTTATGGGTTTATGTAATTCATCCGCTAATTGTTGTTGCCAACTGCTACCCGACGGCTTTTCTAGTTTAAACCAAGACCGAGTTTCTTTTTCGTGTTTATTAGATTTCTAGCTAACCAGTGTCCCCATTGTCGTTCATTATAGGGAATGGCGTCTAATGATTTTACCATTTTACGGTCAGCTTTATTTTTGCGCTTTCGGTTATCACCATAAACACTATAATGAATATCGTGCTGCATGGCCACTGCATCGGTTGGCCCAGTTGGTTGATCATAAATTTCTAATATTTCACCAGTTTCTGGATTGTATCTTACTTGGTTTTCGAGATCGTTGTAGGGGCCAGTGTATTTATGCCCTGGTAATGTCCAACCGCCTGCGGGTCTTGGTAATTTTCCAATGGCCTTGTGAATATCCAAAGCACCTCCATCAAGATCTTTCCTGCTTGTTTTGTAGTTTTTCTTTGGTCGTATTTTGGTTGATAATTGGTCAAGAGCTTGAGACCCCACATTCTGGATCATCGGATTTAATTTATCCAGAGCGTAGTCGATAGCTTTTTTCTGTAACTTTTTATTGCGTAATGTTTCTGACCCGTAATATCTTCCCATCTCAACTGCTTTTTTACCCATCCATGGAAGCCCGTGATGTACAAACGCATCAAGAGCAGTACCAGCTACTGTGTCTATTACGCCTGCCCCTAGGACAGGCTGATCTAGTTTCCCTTCTTGACAAACTTAAACTTTTTTATTCCGCATTCAGCGCAAGTGCACCAAAACATAAGTCTACCATTTTTGGCAGTTTTGTAACCCGAAGGTTCTACACATTCTGTTTGCTTCTTCTGTTTAACACAATAAGATTTCACCATTATTATATATTTATGTTATATAATTATTATCTAATCACTATCTGGAACATAAGTATCATGGCTGCTATCTGACTCATAATCACTCTCACTCGGGGGTTCACAGTTGCAGCACTCGAAACATCCATATTGATTCATATAATGTGGGGTAACTTCTTGGCAATAAACACAGAACTTTTCAGTCATATATAATATATAGATTTAGCCAGGGCTAAAAACGAAGCTCCCATTAATAAATTTGTAATTTCAATCAAACAATAGACTTATATTCCACAAATCAGTTCACTTTAGAGCACAATCATGTGACTTTTGTTTTGAGGGATTAAGGCTAATTGATTTGAGAGAAAAATAATTTGCTAACAGTCCAAGAGTGCACCAAACCTTACATCGAGTTGACGGCCTTTATATGTACACCCAAAAAATAGCAATCATCTTCGATCACATTTAACGTCATAATGGCTCTTGATCATAGTAGATTAGGCCTGGAAAACAAATACTTGGAAAGCAAATCCGGCAGAATTTTTTCCGTTTGACAAGTTTGCTTTACAGAATCTTGCTAACAAATCTGGAGGCGTGTAAACCAACCTTTTATACTTTTTATACATCACATCGGACAGTCTGAGGTAAAACAGTACTATGAGGCGCTGTTTTTATCATGCAGACCTCAGACAGAATGCAGTATTTCACAGTATTGAAATATAAATTGCACTCACTTAATATTTAGGACGATCGAAGCAGGCGTGGGCTTTTAGCGAAACCGCTAAAAAAATTTCCAAAATCACCTATATAACGGCCAGCCAGTTGCAAGCTGTGGAGTGTTTGAATGAACACTAATAGAGTTACACTTCAACATAATAAACAATTTATTGTTTGTTTGTTTTTTTTTATTTAATGGTTTTATAACGATGTGTAAACTTAACAAGCGTTAATACGCGCGACGTTTTGAGTACTCCTGCAAGCGACGACTGAAAACATTAACGGCAAATTACAAGAGAGACTACTAACAATCAATAAAAGAAATATAATTCGGTGAAACATTTACAGAGACAACAATTTTCATTCACGAAGACAATTAAGTATTAAAGTGTCGCTAAGAATCCTGAGTCTTTATGCTTTTAAGCAAAAGTTAGGCTTTAAAAAGCCTAACTTTATGTTTTAAAGCCGGCTTCCCGGTGTTTGCTGTTTTCAAAGATGAACTCGAGGCGAGGAAATTGCTCAAAGCTTTCTTTCTACTGCCAAAATAAAAACGCAACGTTTTTTTCGTTCTATTTGCGGTGAGAAAATATCGACTAAAGAGTTTTTAAAGTTCTGCAAGCTTAAATCAAACCTCATACTATAGGTCAGATCATTATCTCAAATCTTAATTCAAACATGCATAACTGCGCTCGGCTTCATGAAATTAGATAAATGAAAAAAACAAACACAAATACAATAATTACTCAGGCAGCTCCTGGAAGCTACATCGCTTCAGACTTTTCAATCAAGCAAGGTGAAAAACGAAAACGAATCGATGCCATCCGAAATCGGATTTCCGACTTTGACAGGCGACGTATTTCTCAAGTAAAAACCCAATAGACAAACTAGCCATGAATAACAGAAGACTCTTGATCAGGCTCTTGATAGTAGCTGAATTTCATTTCGTACATCCAGTAGAAAAAGACAGTTAAAAACATCACAAGTTGACACAAAACTCTGTCAGCTTCAGCTGTCACAGTAAACAAGTTTCAAGATGCTGCATAAATTTTCTGCATAAACTCGCATGTCAAATTTTGACCAATCAGAGCATAAAAATTGGACGTAGAGCGCGACCAACGCGTTCACGGACGACTGAAAGTAACAACTGGCAAAGCGATCATGTAAGAACGAGATCTTGACAAACAATCAAGACAAGAAATATAATACAAAGAAACATTTAAAGGTCAACAATTTTTATTCCCGAAGACGTGTTTTGAGAGTAAAGCTGAGTCACGAATAGATTTAAATTAAGCCTTAAGTTTTAAGCCGCCTTCGCCGTGTTTGCTATTTTGCAAGATGAACTCCAGGCAAGAATATCGCTCAAAGTTTCTTTTTTTTTACAAACAATAGGATAACTAAACTATTTTTTCAGAACTTTTTCTTCTAGTCGCGGTCAGAAAATGTCTAAAGACTTTTTAAGTTCTTTACTAGGTCAGATAAATTGATTCAAACCTTACAAATGTGCGTAAAATGACGGCATAAACATGAAAAGAGAAAACACATAAAATGCAATAAAATTACTCAAGCTTACCGGTCGAGATGAGCACGGAAACCCATCAAGTAAGGCCAGAATCGCTTAAGATTTTTCGCACGGTCCAGCAAGGCGAATTAAGCTTACTAAGAGTAGCTTATTTTTGAAAACGATGATTCCCGATTCCTTTTTGTCGTGCGGCGCATTTCTCGACCACAACCCAGTAAACAAGCCAGCCAAGAATAACAAAAGAATGTTGATAGCTGCTGTATTTCATTTTGTAGATCCAGTGCAAAAAGACAGGTAAAAACATCAAAAGATGACTCAAAACTCTGTCAGCTTCAGCTATCAGTGAACAAGTCGCAGATGCTGCATAAATTTTCCACTTGAATCCTCTTTGCTAGCGCGCCTGTTAATTCTTACTCTATGCCTTTCTCTTCTTCTCTTTTTCGTCGCTTTTCACTCACAAGCAAATAGTTTGAATCCAATCCGCTATTGTTTGTTGCCATCACAACTTCTTCGAAACGGTTTACTAGAAACTGAGCTCTCCGGACACAAAATCCTTATGCAATGTAGTAGTTCCGTTGAAGTAAACATGTTTTTGAACGCGACGACAGCCACGTCATTTCTTGCGCGATTTCCCGCCAAGAAACAGGTGGGTGGCACAAATGCATCGCGCGATTTATAACATACTCCTCCCCCGGACGGGCTGACACCTGATTCCCTTCCCTCCCCCGCAAAGAGTGTACGGGCGTACGCTACGTCATAACCAAATTTTCTCGGATGGATGGTTTACAAATTTTATTACCCATGGTGCTCCGCCGGCGCGCTTCGCGCGCCGGAGCTCCGCTAATAGTGTTACATAAAATAGTTTATCAGAAATTGGTGATTTATCATTTGATTTGTGAAACTGAATTTAGGGTTGTGTATAACGTCTAATAATGATTTCCCTTTCTGTCTCTCCAGGAGATAATATAAGCACCAATAACTGCACAAAACACTGTCTCTTTCTTGTATTTCATCTGACGAGTACACCAGTTTTTTACCACTTGTTTTCAGATAATTTTTCATTTCATTGGGCATGATTAATCCGAACGGGTCAAAATATTCACAATATTGTTTATCCACGTTTCTATAACAAATCCAATGACTGTCCCCGCCCATTGAATCATCGAGATTAATTATTCCTGTTTCCAATTTGTGTATTTTATTTGGTAAATTATCACGGCTGTAGATACCCCTGAAATATTTTATTCCTAATTGTGTAACCCATTGTAACAAATCAATGTTCGATAATGGTTTGTTTATGAATCTTACAATATTGCTCCTAAAATTGGGATCGAATTGAACGGACTGTCTTTTCCGAGTAGCAGTCCCTTTCCCTTTCTTTTTTTTTTTTACTCCCCCACCAACCGGGTTTTCCTATGTTCCAAAGAAAGGTGGTGACATGTAGGGATATGGATTATACATTCCATGGCCATTAGTTGTATCGGGAACATAAACAGATGTTGTATTAGCGGAACCGGTTCTATCGGCCTGTAGTCCTTTTCCCGTTAATGCGTTTAGCAACAGGGGGACATCTATACTAGCCAGTAGAGTTCCTAAAAACCCACCCTGCTGTGTTTTCGTCGGTCTGATAACTAATCCGTTGCCAGTTTGGAGAGACTTAAGAATATCCTTTTTTCTGCCCCGTGGTCAGTAAATGTTTGTTTGCAACCAATTGTGCTATTTTGTCCATTGGAATAAGAAAACCTCCTCGTTGACCTTTTCCGAATATTTTATCCACATCGAGACTGGCTAATCCTGATAACGCTCCTGTTGCAAGCGGTGCGATAGCTTTTTTGGCTAATGGCATGGCCATAGGTAGTAACTTGCTTCCTAAATTGATTAATGATCCCCACAAACTACCACCCTGTCTAAGAGCCTTTCTAATTTGTGTTTTTGATATCTTGATATCCGACCCTGTACCCTGGCTCATTGCTTTTCTCAGCTTATTGATCTGAGTTTTTGTGAGCATTAATTCGTGTGGACCGGATAACTCATTTCTAGCTAAACTGATGGTTATTGCTGAGTTATTATTGTAAGCTCTCGAAAGCTTTTCCAATTGTCCTTTACTAAGTGACACACCATAAGGATAATAATTTGTCATTACTCAAATATAATATATGTTATATAATTTTAACCATATTTAATTTACGATCTGAGTATTATTTTACCATCTGAATTAGCTCAACATCTTGCTCATATAATGTTAATGCGTAAATTGAGTCGGCTGCTGCCGTTGTTCCAGATAGCTCATATTTGAATGTCAGTTTTATGGTGCCATCCTTAATGTCCATTTTCTGTTTTGTTTAGTCGAAATATAAAATATAAGAATGGAAACAGGGTACTGAAGTTGGATTTATTGAGTAATGACCCTTCACCGTATTCATTATTTTTGTGAACATATTTCAACACATCCCTGAAGACTCTAGTCATATCAGTAGCCGGTGTGTAATGTATTTCGGGGTATTCATTTCCGTTTCCAACTTCTAGGGGACAATTGGATAAGGTCCTTGGGTCAGTTGAGACAGAGAATGTGTTGTAGAAGAATGGATTAGCTGTCTGGGCATCGATATTCGCATCATTGATTATGAATACAAACACGTGTCGGGGTTTCGAAATACCAGAAGAGATTTTGAAATGCCCAGCTCTCTGCTGGCTACTATTTGATCTTTCAATATTCTCTCTCAAATAAGATCACTTATGATTTTTAAGGTATTGGCTCATATAGGATGATTGGCCTTCACTGTTAAAGGTTATCCGTGGAACATATAATTGCATTCTGGTGATAACCACCCTGCAATCAGCCCCGGCTTGCCAAATTAGATTACCATCTGACTCAATCTCAAAATTCATCTCAACTCTTGTATTAGGTAACAGCTCATCTTCTAACATTTCGGAAAACGAGTATCTATTCAGTGGTATTTCTGTATTTACTTTGGATGAGACTCCTAAAAGTGCTTTTCGAAGGGCAAAACCCTTATTGTAAGCTGTTCGCCTTTTAGCTAACTGATTTGTACCGCTAACTTCAAATTCCCGCTCTTCTGCATTTCTGGATGTATCAAGGAAGAGAAACTCATTACTTGCTGTCTTATCGGCATAAGCCGGACTGTACTCAAGTAAGTTCTTAATATTAACCGCGTGATTCGCGTCATTGCAATCATACACTTTCTTACCACTGAGCTTAATAGCGGGGCTCCCTCGCGCGCGAAGCGCGCGTGGGACAGAGCCCCATACTCATGGAATATGGTCAACCTCTTTTCGTTTGGTTGTCACGTGATTGACCGAGCGTACGTACGCGTCTACAGATTGTACGGGTGGGGTAGGGGAGACTATCAAAAGGAAGGGAGGGGTGTCTCAGGCATGTCTTGGCAAGTCCACATCTTTAATATAGGATTTTAGTATAGGACATCCACAATATGATCAATTGACAGCTGTCAAAACAGGATACCCACTGACCAGTATCCCATGACCATATCGCGGGCTCATGTTTCAACTCATCGAGGTGACGTGATTTATTTGGTAGCTGTCCGTTGACCAGTTAATTGTTTTACTAGATCGCGAACAATGTTCAATCTCATACTTTTACTAGTTAAACTGATAATGCACACATATTGGACATCAATGTTTTGATCAATTGACAGCTGTCAAAACAGAGTACCCGCTGACCAGTATCACTTGACCGTATCGCGGGCTCAGGTGTCGACCCATCGAGGTCAAGTATTTTTTTGAAGTTATCCGCTGACAAGTTACTAGTTTTCAAGTGATCGCAGGCTCAAGTTCAATTTTTTTCTAAATTCATATGAAATATGTTGTGTTTATGTGCTACACAATTAAAATTTTGATTGCAAACTGACCTCGGACGCGAAAATTCAGCCAGCTGTTACAGGCAGGGAAGACAGTTGCTTTTGACTTTTCTCACCCTGGTCACGCGTTGGTCACGCTCTACGTCCAATTCTTATGCTCTGATTGGTCAAAATTTGACAGGTGAGTTCATGCGGAAAATTTATGCAGCATCTTGAATCTTGTTTACTTTGACAGCTGAAGCTGACAGAGTTTTGTGTCAACTTGTGATGTTTCTAACTGTCTTTTTCCACTGGATGTACAAAATGAAATTCAGCTGCTATCAGGAGTCTTCTGTTATTCATGGCTAGTTTGTTTATTGGGTTTTTGGTTGAGAAATACGTCGCTTGTCAAAGTCGGAAATCCGATTTCGGATGGCATCGTTTTCGTTTTCACCTTGCTTGATGCGTAAGAGGATTTCAAAGTCTGAAGCGATACTGGCTTTACTTGATAGCTTTTAGCAGCTGCATCTCGAATGGTAAGCCAGAGAAATTATTGTATTTGATGGTTGTTTTTTGGTATCTAATTTAATGAAGTCGAGCGTAGTTTATGCGGGTATTTAGTTTATGCACGTTTGTAAGATTTGAGACAACGATCTGACCGAGTATCAGGTTTGATATAATCTTACACAACTTTAAAAAGCCCTTAGACAGTTTCTCACCGCAAATAGAAAGAAAGCCGGCTTAAAACATAAACTTAAGCTTGAAGACTCAGGATATTTAGGGACACTTTAATACTCGTCTTCCTGAATGAAAATTCTTGTCTCTGTATATGTTTCACCGAATTATATTTCTTTTATTGATTGTTAGTAGTCTCTCTTGTAATTTTAATCGCTGTGCCGATTGTTTTCAATCGTTCAGTGAACATCGCTTGCAGGAGTACTCAAAATGCCGTGCGTAAAACCATTAAATAAAAAATAAGCATAATAAATTCTTTATTATCTTAGAGCGTAACTCTGTTAATGTTCGTTCAAACACTCGCCACAGCTCGCACTACAAAAGTGAGAACCGGATGGCCGTATAGGTGATTTTGGAAATTTTTTTAACAGTTTATGAATATTTAATGAGTGCAATTTGTATTGTGAAATACTGCTTTCTGTCCATGGTATAAAAGGTTGGTTTACACGCTTCCAGATTTGTTGGCATGATTTTGCAAAGTAAACTTGTCGAACGCAAAAAAAAATGGCCTGATTTTTTTTCCAGGCCTAATTAATCTACGGTGATCAATAGCCACTATGGCTCTTAAATGTGATCGAAGATGATTACCAGTTTTTGGGTGTACATATGAGGCTATCAACTCGATGTAAGATTTGGTTTACTCTTGGGCTGTTTGCAAATTATTTTTCTCTAAAATCAGGTAGCCTTTCCCCCAAACGTCACATAATGTGCTCTAAAGTTAACTGAATTGTGGAATTCAAATACAAGTTTATTGTTTAATTTGAATTATAAATTTACTAATGGGAGCCTCGCTTTTAGCCCTGGCTAAATCTATATATTATCAAAATGTTTCAACAGTGAGCACGACCTGTTTACAATACCATTATGATCTGCTACTGCAATGTTACCTCCATTAGCCAGCAAGACTACTTTAAAATCAAGACTGATACGAGCATTACACCTTTCAAATGGCGTAACCTCACCACTGTTATCAACAACAAACCTGTAGCCATCTTTCTTTTGGTGAGCATTATTGGCGACAGTTGTATTTAGTCCTGTTTCTAGGTCAAAAATAACATCTTCTATTCGTTCAACATATTTTGGATCTCTAAAAGAATTCATTATATTAACAGATTACATAAATCTTCTCATCTGACCCCCGGATAATAATTGATTCACCCTCTCATTAATCTCGTAATCGCTTAGCTCTCTATATTATGGATTTTCTATTGGCGATGTCGCTACTGGTGATGCTTCTACCGGTGTCTTTTTATTCTTTTTGCTTAATAACTGAATAATTTTATCGCCCGCTTTTTCGCCAGCATATTCACCAGTTTTGGTAGCAGCTTTCTGAACAGCCTTCTTGGTTGCTGTTTTAGCAGCCTCTTTCGTCGTCTTTCCAAATAGCTTTCTACCAATCGTTTTGAAAACATCGGTAACAACACCTTTTCCATAAATATGCTTCTTATCATATCTCCCCGTTTTAACATCATAACGTTTCTTGAATTCTGATTGTCTCATTGTATATTATTAGGTTAGATATTGTGCTGGTTTGGATCGCAGTTTCAATGTCATAAACCAGTCAATCTTATTTAGTCCAATTGGTCGTCCCAGTGAATCTGTGATATAAGACCTCATTTGTGAAATATTAAGTTGGGAAACTTCATTAAACAATAGTCTTCTGGTCTTCTAGTCTTCTTCATTAAACAATAGTCTTCTGGGTTCAAATGTGAATGGGAAACTTCTTGTCAAATTGTCAGTTGGAATAACAGGCAACGTATTAGTATTTACACTATTCAATATGCTGTTCGTAATAGCATCGGTATTGATATAAATCATGTCAATGGAATTTGTGACATTAGGTTGATTACCATCCCCATATTCTGTTTTCTTCACAATTTTCTCTGTAAATCCAATTAACTCGCCAAATTGACTATTTCACCGATCCAGTTGGTAATTGTTGTCGATCTGAATGAGAATCTTATATGTGGACAATACAAATGTTAGATTAATGTAGTCTACATCATCCTTTTTTGCATCAGTAGTTTTATGGCCTTTCTTTTTCATGTACTGATGGAGATAGTCATTTAGGTCTGAATAAGTGTACATCCCATCCACACATTTGACGGTTTTCCATGATGTTCCACCATCAGGGGAGTATCTTATTTCATTATTTTGATACTGATCTGAAATATTATGCCAACCATAAGTCATAGTGGCCTTATCCAAGGCTATTTCGTGTGTCATGTTATTTTGGAGTTTTAACATTGGATCAAATTTGATTATGAAATCTTCTGCTTTATTCTGTCCGATTTTCTGTCTATCAACAGATGAAATATGTATTGCTCTTTCTTGCATTTATATTATTAGATTACATATTCCTTCAACAGACTATTAAGCTGGTTGTTATTTAGAACACCTAATTTGTTCAGTGTGTGAGCAATTTTGGAAAATTCATTTTTCACACCATTATTTCCAGCCAATATGGATCCACATAATAATTCCAATCTGTCCAGTAGGTCAGCTGGATTATTATAATAAACAACACCTGAGCCGATTTTTCTGTATTTATTACTTGTTCGGTGAATTGGAATATCACTTATCCTGTTCAGGTCATCAAATACCATTTTTGATAATGGTGAATATTTCTTTTTACTATTGAACCGCTTTGTGAGCAGATCAAGGGTATCAAAGTCCACTTGCTTATCATAGACTTTTTTACCATCCTTATGAGCAATTAGTTTAAGCTGGCCATAAAGTTTTGGGCACGTCAATTCTTACATTTCCATAAACACCAGTATTAGGGTTAATCTTATAGGCATTTATCTTTTTTTGTGTATAAATACCCTGACCAACTTTCAATGTTTTTGCGCCTTCCTCTACAATACCAATTCTTTGTCTGTATTTTATAATATCAATTCCTTCAGTATACTCGGCAATTTCATCCTTATTTTTCTCCCTGTTAGCTTTTGTTGTGCTCAAATGGGCTTTTTTCTGACCCAATTTCTTATTTATTTCACCGGATTTATCCAGAATTTGTTTCGCATAATTTGGCTGTTTTAAGGTTCGCAAAAAAAGGCAGCTGGTAATGGCAATTCCTGGTTTTGTATGAATGCCAGTTGTTCTTAAGTAAATCCTTTATTCATATCAGCTATTATCTTAGGCGCCACCTCACCACTTGGGCCTAGTAATGCTAATCTTTGAACTTGCTCAGCATATGGAACAACTTGTTTATTGACATCTTCTCTCAATTTACTAATCTCCTCTATCTCCTTATCAAACTTTTCAGTTAGAGGATTTAGGTCTTCAGACGTCTTTTCGTATACATTTTGCTTATTAGTTCGAACTTCTTTTATAACATTCCTAACAACTTCCGTCATTTTTCCTGCTTCAATTTTAGGAATACTGAGTCTCTTGAATCTTTCAATATCCATTATACTAGTACATTATATAAAACTTATCTCAACTTATCTGAACTTATCTTAAATTATGTAATATAATAGTATAATGAAGATTCCAAATTATGATTTCAATGAAGATGAAAATACAAACTTCAAACAGCTGTACAAGTACATGCCCAAATCCAATTTTAGGATGCTAATATGCGGTAATTCAGGGTCAAGCAAAACAAATCTACTTTACCACATCCTTATGAAACCATTAGTCTGCTATGACCAGATCCATTTATATGGCAAAAATCTGGAACAGGAAAAATACAGACACATGATAGAAACAATAAATGACATTAGTAGCCAGGTTGGATATGACATAATGCACTGCAATAATGCTGAAATTAAACCTGTAAATAGTCTGGAGAGCGATGCCCAGAAAATTGTAATATTCGATGACTTCATTTGTGATAAAAATCAAAAGCCGCTTATCGATTATTTCATTCAAGGCCGGCTTAAGAACTGTAGTGTTATTTACCTTTCACAATCATTTTATAAAACTCCAAAAGATATCAGATTAAACTGCAGTCATTATATTGTTTATGATTTCCCTAGCAGCAATGAGAAAAATATGGTCTCTAGAGAGCTAAATGTAACAAAGGATCAGTATGTTAAAGCAACAAAACAACCCTATTCTTTCCTATATGTGGATAAACCAATGAAGACTGTCAAAAGAAACTTTTATGGAAATATATAATGTATTATTATAATGGGAATATTTAATCAGCAACCTAATTATAATCAATCATACTCAAAAGGAAAACGCGGTATTACTGGCCCTCAAGGACCTCCTGGCCCGCCTGGCCCGTCTGGCCCCGCTGGTGATCAGGGTATTCAAGGACCCAAAGGTGATCAGGGTATTCAAGGACCCAAAGGTGATAAGGGCATTCAAGGACCTAAAGGTGATCAGGGTAACCAAGGTCCAAAAGGTGATCAAGGACCAAGAGGTGTTGGATTTAGTCTCACATCAAGGAGGGATTATAATATGTTAGGTAAACAACTGAAAGGTATGGCTGAAGGAACTAGTTTTCTTGACGCTGTAAGAAAAAGTCAACTGGATTCTAAACTATCACTTTCTGGTGGATTAATGACCGGCAATTTGGATATGAATAGCAATAGGATTTATAATGTAGCACAACCAGATGCTGATAATCAACCAGCCACAAAAATATGGTCAGAAAATAAATTCCTGGATAAATCCAGTGGAGTTATGGCTGGACCACTAAATATGTCCAATAATAAAATCTCTCATCTTGCCAAACCAACTGATGATAAAGATGGGGTTAACAAAAAATACATAGATGATAATTATTTGAAACTGTCCGGTGACACTATGGCTGGTCATATAATATTAAATAACAAAATCCTTACTTCACAATATCAAGCAATAAACCGGAACACTGGAAATGCATTTTTTGTACAAATTACTAATCCATATGTTTACCACCAATTCAATATGGTCAAAAACAAGATTATTAATCTTGGAGACCCGGCTGATGCTACAAATAGTGGTGGAAACACTGCATATATGTATTATATCAAAATAATTGTAAACTTTCAAAAAACTATAGCAAATCTGTACAGTCTGGATCTTTACGTTAATATACCCCAGACGGGTATTGATCTCAGCACCTACCCAAAAAATTGGACAAATAACTAGATGATTGCTTATGGTGTTTTCGGAAAAGTGTCATCTATTGATCCCCAAAAAACATATGATTACCATACAGCATTTGATATTAAGCCGACTGAAGTTGTTTACAATGTTGATCTGGATATGAACAGAAAGAGAATATTAAATATAGCTCCGAATAAAACTAAGAATACTTCAGCGGCGACTGTGAAAATGGTCAAGGATTTGGAGACAAAATTGAGCCCTCATACAAAGAATAATGCATATAGGGAAATATTTGAGGAATTTTATGATTTAAGCGATGCTAGTAACTGTAAAATAACAATAGGAATATCAGGTATCATGGTTTCAGGCACCCTACCTAATATTTATTTTCCTAGAATGGATATTACCAATATTTGGAAGGGTGGATTGAGGATACAAAATACCACATTAAGTTTGGAATTATTCAGTAAAAGGAACTTTACTCTTTGTGTTAATATGCAGCTGTGGCTGAACAGATCACTAACTATAAAAACGATTATGAGTAATGGAGCTTATGAAAAACCACATTTGATTTATGACAAAACAACAAAAGAAAAATAACACTGCAAACTACTGGTCTGAGAACTGGGTCAACTAACGAAACTTCTATGACATTACTAAATAGTTTCAATGGTAAACGTGTTTTGTTTTGGTTGACTAAGAAAGGGACAGGGGGTGACCTAACAGTAAAAGCTTCAGTCTCAAATTATTCCGGAACATTAACACTAAGTTCAGCTATAGCATCTCAAAGTACCTATACATTCAGAATATTCTCAGAAGATGCAGTAATCTTTAGAGTAATGTACACTCCAAACTTTCATGACTTCGATTCTATCGAATTTCATAGAATAATGTTGCAAGAAAAAGTAAACGGTTCTTATGTTCTAAAAATAATAAAAAACTAATAATATAAATGAGTATATTCAACTTCAACCACATTGACGAAAACAAAACAAAAGAAGAGATACAGGAGATTAAAGAGCTGTATAAATATTACCACTATAGATACTGGTGCTATCAAAAAGCCTATACCCACTACAAAAAAGTCAATCTGGCTTCTAATATCGTATCGGCGGGTTTAGTCATTATTGGTAGCGTAGCTGGTGGCATCACAGCCAATCCCATTATTATAGGTACTGTAACAGGCACCGGTGTATTACTCAAAACATTTTGTGAAACTAAGAACTACAAACGTAAAATAGAAATGAGCAAATATGCATATACAACATATCAAAAAGATATTAGCCGATCTCAAAACTTCCCTTCGAGGTGGGCCCTTTAATAAACGGACTTTTTACAATTGCAATTATAGATTTCTGTCCATTAGTAACAAAATTTGAAAAACAATATGGAAAAAAATTCCTCTCTACCCCCACTACTAACACTAATTAATATCCTCCTTGATGAGATCATAAATTTGAGCCCACCACTGACTGTAGTAATTTAACGTCTTCTTTGATTTTGTGAGGGGAATAAACTTGTATTCTATTTCTAAAATGTCGAATAGTTGTTTAATGATAAAGTTTACACTGATAAGCCGTCTTCGGCGAACACCCGGTTGGTGGGTAACATTATCAGTTAGTTTGAATATTCTCAGGATATTCTCTCTATTATAATAACCGATTTAAATGCCGTTTGTTTGTGCGATATCATTCATGACATTTATGATATGATATTTTCTGTGATATACGGACTTTCTTTTTAATCTGTATCTACTCTCATAAAAGTCAATATACTCGTCTGCTGTTAAATAATCATGCACTTGGCCACAATTAATACACACGAGATAACCATCCTTAACCAATTTCATATTACTACAGCAGAAATATCTCTTTGGTTTACCCGGGTCTTGAATCTGCTTACAACAAAAGATGCAATTAATAGCATCCTCATCCTGGATCAACATTTGGTGAATTTCTTCAGTACACATTAGTATATACTATATGGAGATTTTATTTTTATATATTTTTATGCCCATACGCATAACTCGTAATTCCATCCTCGAGTATATCATGATCTGATAACTTATTATTCCCGTTGGATTGTCAATTCACTGATCAGCTGCTGTTGCTTTTTGGTTACCTTTGACATTGCTTCCTCCTTGGATTGTTTGGTATATCTGGCCATTGTTTTGTAACATTTGCCATCAATCTTAGCATCGTAGTATAGTAGCTTATTCATGGGATTATCCTTGATTTTGAGTTCATCACCAAATTTCTGGCGCAGACGGTCGCGCAATTTATTTTCTGTCTCGATTTGCGCTTGATGTTTGTATTCAATTTTGACTGTCTGTTTAGGAACTGATTCTTTGTTGAGTAAACGGTCCCTATATTTTTCACTATAATATCTGATGTATTCGGCTTCCACTCTGTTTACTTCTTGACGATCCTTACAAGGTGCTCTTATTATTGGTGTGATTACTGGGTTGTCACCCTTGCATTGATATATTGCACTTGATTTTGTGGTCACATGTACATTGAGCCGTTCTTGCAGATTTCTGATAGAGCTACCAATATACAATTTATTGTTGTGTTCGAACGTAATCTTGTAAATTTGACCATTGTGGTAATTATCATTAAAGTAGCTATTTACTGTCACGTAATGCGGCGGCATTCTGATTTTGTATTTAGGGTTCAATTTTGTTGTATCAAGATGGACATGATTTAATTCTGTTGTTCTGGATAATGCTGTGTAGAGCTGTTTCTTGTCCATTTTCTCAACATCATAAATATTATATGGGGTGCTTTTTGTTCCTCCCTGATATTTATACACTGTAACACAAAATGATGGTATAAAAGATTCGCGAAATTCACTGTGACTGAATATTGTACCATTAAGAATAAAATTGAGATTACCGTCTTCATTTTCCTCAATATTGTCAATGTTATGCTGCTCCATATTAAACATATCTTTATTGCGCATATTTTGTGTCACTAACATTAGCATCCCGTTTGATACTCTATTTTTCTCCCGATGCCCTTGATACTTAAATTCGATCTCATAATATTCTCTATTTTCAGTGAATCTATTACAGCATTCTTGCGTGACATGCCGCCTTGTTTTATTCAGATAGCATGCATTATGGTAACTATCTTTTGGTGGTTGAAATTGGTGTTTGATAGTACCACTCTTGAGAAACTTGGTTAACAGATCCCGTGTTTGTGGATCGTATCGAGCATATTCTTCTATATACTTCATTTCAACCCGTCGTGGGCACATCTCTGAGACTGGAATGGATGTGAAATAATCATAAAACATATCAGTTGGTTCTACTGGATCACATTGATTTGTATCACCAAACATGTAAATGGTGAGTCTGTATTTAGTGAACGCTTGATAGAGTTTAGTCATCCACTTATTAGGAGTCATGGAATATTCGTCCACAAATATAGTATTTCCTTCTAATGCTGTAATATCACGCCCATGATGATCACAAAAGAACAGATCAAATGTGTAACACTTCTTAGCTAACTCATAATTATTGTACAAATCACATAATACCGATTTTACATTCTGGATAGCTTATTAGTAAATGATAGGATTATGGGGTCATCAGCTGCTAGTGCCTTTTGGCATAATCTGTATGTTTTACCACATCCGGCGCCGCCATAATGAATAGCACCCTCTCCCATATAATCAGTATAATTATCTGGATCAAAATTCTCCCTGTAATGTTTCTCGAAATATGTGGCCGGGCTATCAGTTTGGAATATTTGCCCAATACTATGTATTGTAAATTTGACATCTTTCTTGTTGGGGTATTGGTTTTTAGGATTAGTCATAAATACGCCATCAGTATTGATTGCATACACTTGACTGATTCCATTACTATCATTATCGTGACTCGCATTGTCATGTAACATGTTCAGACATTTCAATATGGACTGAGAGATAACAAAGCGGTTGATTGATGTATTGTCAGAAAATATTCGCTCAATTTGACGCTCTCTGATTAGATATAATTCTTGTTTAGTGTTTGGATTCTGATAACTGTCTATTACCTCGTCACGATTCTCAGCAAGAGCAGATGTCCAGATGCATTGTGCTGTATCAAGTGAACTACAAGTAAATCCATGATCCTTGCGGCTATATTTCCTACCTAGTTCGCCGATGTAACTGTTTGCCAGTAATTTGGCTTGAGATTCTGGGAACATTAAAAAAATTGCTAACATGAAATTCTTGAATGTGTCTGGGGATAATGTTTTACGTGCTTGGATATACCATTTGACATTAGAGATGGACATCTTAAACTTTGTGATCAATGCACGCACCAATGGTTCGCTATAAAACCCAGCTTCAATTTTGATCCCCTTACCTAGTCGTTTGTCGATAACATATTCATCGATATAGTATTTGCCTATCCTTAATACCCCATCAAAGGGCTTGATAATATCGTGAATTGTGTATAATGGTATTGGTGATTCATTATCGATAAGTATTGAAGGATAACATTTTGAGATATCTAATGACACCAGATTATCGGGTGCTGGGTCAGTTGAACACTATTGTAGTGCTCGAGGATAGAAATCATCAAGTACTTCCCGTGTCTTGGTGTCATATTGTGATTCCGGAAGATATCCTCTCATGTGTTTGAATAATGATGATGCTAATGAAGTATATGACTGATTACACCAAATAAAATCATAAGACTTGTATATTTTGTATAGTCGCTCACAGATCGATTTACGGTTTTCATATTCGTTGTTAAGAACGTACATGTTATTCTTGTGATCCATAAAGCCATCTAATCTGCCATTGTTATCGTAATGTAAATACTCGACAAAATAATTAGTCCTGATCATATACTCTTCAATTATGAGTTCTATTTTTGTGTCCGGCGGTAACACGATTACGTGATTCTCGATTGTCGATAGTGTTAGTTTGTCTGTTTCGCTATCTTCTTGTTTGACGATAATAGCATCACCATTGTCGATAAGTTCTTGATACATAATGTAATTACTCGATTTTTTAGACCATTTCATGTCCGTCATATACTTCCATAAATTGTCGGCGCCGCCTTGGTTGGCTTTTGTTGCGATCTGTTTGAGGTGGTCATCTTGAATAGGATATAGATGGTGATCTTTGATGTAAAACACGAAGCTTATATCTCTTGATGCGCTAGCAATATGTTTCATAAATTTGCGCCATGTACTGTCATAAGCGTGGATTGATACATTTGGATGACATGCTTTAACCCAATCAATTAACTCTTGTGTTGAGATCATTGGAAAACTGGCTGACCCGTAAACTTCCATCTCATCATATAATTTTTGATACGTATATTTCTGAAAACCCTTCTTACCCTTGCAGTTATGCCAAACAAAATCAACCATACAAGTATTATCGTCCCGCTGTTTGATCTGAAACTGCTTATCCAGAAAGAATGTATTCAATTTAAGGGCGCCGGCAACATGATCTTTAAAGAACTGCTCATTATACGTAGTTATAGTGGCTCCAATTTCAGCTATAGTTTCTGTCGAAAAGACTGTGAAGTAATTTTGGAGCAGGGTGTACATCAGAAACTTATACATATCAGGTTTGCTTAATTTTGGGACTTCCATTTTAAATGGCCCATACGACTTATCAGTGAACTCGGTTCTGTTACCAATTGTATGTTCAATAACAGTGTTTATTGTGATTTGTGCCCGTTCTCGTTTACCAGGCATCTGTTGTAGTCTATTATGAAACAAATTTTGAAATGATGATTTCCGTGTATACTTTGATACTCTAGCTCGCCCCAATTCCTCATCTCTCATGTTTTGCAATGAAACAGGAATTTTATGTAACCTAATACTAGGAACTTGTTTATCGGACAGTTCCTCAAAGCACTTAATTTTGTCCTTGACCATTGCATTTGCCGCTAGTGTCTTTAATGTTGGCAATCTATTAGACTGTTTTGGTAGTACGGCTGGTCGTTTTATTGATTGTTCTAATTTTCCAGCCGCTAGTTGTGTAAGTGATTTTGGTTTAAAGACTGGTCCTACCGCAGTGCTCACAGTCTGTTTAACCGGTCCTGCCCTATTGGCGCTCACGGTTTGTTTTCCCAAAAGCATATTAATTAATTGTTCCTTTGATAATTTCGATAGATCTTCCCTATTCATACTAATAGGGTAGATTATTTTATTACCCGACAAACGGGCATGTGGCTCAACGTTTCTCATTTGCTCACTCGTACTATTACTATATATTATATTATTTTTTTCATTTGAACGCACCATCTGCATACAAGTATACGACGCTATCTCTTTAAGTCTCGACAAACCGCCCAAAACCGGTTACCAAAATGCTGACATCAGCAGAAATCCCATAATCGTAACTGAGTGTGAATTCCGGGCGGCATAGCCATCGTAGTTGTGTTTATGTCAGTATCGCCCCGCACTATTACGATTTTGATTTCAAATCAGACCTTTTCTTACCATGGTCACGTGTTGGTCACGCTCCGCGTCCAATTTTTATGCTCTGATTGGTTAAAATTTGACGGGTGAGTTCATGCGTAAAATTTATGCAGCATCTTGAAAGTTGTTTACTTTTGACAGCTGAAGCTGACAGAGTTTTGAGTTTTTTGATGTTTTTAACTGTCTTTTTCCACTGGATGTACAGAATAAAATACAGCTGCTATCAAGAGTGTTCTCTTATTCATGGCGGGTTTGTTTTTTGGGTTTTTTTCGTTGAGAAATGCGTCGCTTGTCAAAGCCGATAATCCGATTTCGGATGGCATCGTTTTTGTTTTTCACCTTGCTGGCTACGTGCGAGAATTATAAAGGCTCACGCGATCCTTGCCTTACTTGATAGCTTTCAGGAGCAGCATCTCGAAATATGGTAAGCCTGAGTAATTATTGTATTTATATCTAATTTCAAGAAGTCCAGCGGCGCAGTTTATGAAGCTAGTTTATGCACGTTTGTATTAAGATTTGACTGATCTGACCTAGTATGAGGTTTGATATAAGCGTAAGCTTACAGAACTTTAAAAAGCCTTTAGACGATATTAATTCACCGTAAATAGAAAGAAAAGACTTTCCGAAGAATATTTAGTTATAATTTTGGCTGTAGAAAGAAAGCTTTGAGCGATTTTCTTGTCCTGAGTTCATCTTTAAAAACAGCAAACAGGCCCGGGAAACCGGCGGCTTAAAACATAAACTTAATCTTTAAGCTTACTAGTAAAGACTTGAGGATTCTTAGAGACACTTAAATACTCATTTGTTTTCGTGAATGAAAATTGGTGTCTCTGTAAATGTTCTACCGAATTATATGTCTTTATTGATTGTTGGTAGTCTCAAAAGTGTAATTTTCATCGTTTTGCCGTTTGTTTTCAGCCGTTCATAAACATCGCTTGCAGGAGTACTCAAAGTGCCGAGCGTATCAAACGCTTTTTAAGGTTACACATCGTTATAAAACCATGAATAAAAAATAGAGTCAATAAATTCTTTATCACGTTGAAGCGTAACTCTTTTAAAATTTCTTCGCAAATTTGGCGCTTGTCAAAAGTTAGAACCGGCTGGCCGTATAGGTGATTTTGGAAATTTTTTGAACGGTTTCGCTAATTAAAAGTCCACGCGTGCTTCGATGGTCCTGAATATTGAATGAATGCAATTTGTCTTGAAAAATTGTGAAATACTGCATTTTGTATGAGGTCTGTATGATAAAAACAGCGCCTCAAAGTACTCTTTCTCGCTTTTAGCCGTGGCTAAATCTATAAATTACTTGCGTCAATAGTGAACTTTAGCATTAACGACGTAGACGGCAGCGAAATTGTCATTTTTAAAACGAGTTCTCGTTTTTTTAAAACTGTTTTGCGTTTACTTCAAATTTAGGCGAATTTCCNTTGTCATTTTTAGAATGAATTCTCGTTTTTTCAAACTGTTTTGCTTTTATTTCAAATGTAGGCGAATTTCCCTGAAGTTGATTTCTTGGGAACCACACTCAAGTTTAGAAAGAGAAAGAAAAATTCTTCTTCGCTTGTTTACGTCCTCAATAAAACGTGAAATTTGGCATTTTCAAGTTGTAGTCGTGCAGGTACCGCAAAGAAATGTACAAAACTTAAAGCGTGAGGCACGTGCAAAACTGTTGTTTTGCTTGATAAACCTTTTACTTTTTTGACGTTCTCGTAGCCGTCGCCGTCGTCGTCGCTAAAGCTCCCTAATGCTTGTCTGGGACCGGAATAGTTGACATTGCAAGTAATATGTTTTCTTCCTGTTCTAGGTAACCTGGCAATTAAAATACCAGAACGTATTCCATCTCTTTTCGCTGGTGAAAAGAAAAGTTTTTACTGCTTCGTTGAGGGAACGCTCCCAATAACAGTCAGGTGGCTGAAGAACAACACGATTATCAAGGAGAGAAAAAGTCAAAGAGACAGACAAGTAAACCTCACTCTTGATTTTCGCGAATTGGACTTGCATCACACTGGGAGTTATACTTGTGAAGCTAGAAATCGCTATTACCAAACCAGACGCACTATCCTCGTCAGCGTTTCATGTAAGCATTTATTGTTAACAAGGTTGTTTTCGTACCCATCTCCGTTTGCTTTAGAAAGGTCGTAACTTGACATCGAATGACCATTTAATTGACAACAACAGAAAGAGAAAAAAAGGGGGACATACAAGAAAAGAAATCTATCAAGGGAAAAAATTTCTTAAACAAACGGATCGTCTGAAAGGTAATCCTCTTTTCCTGGAAGAGAATTTTTTCTAAAAGGAAATCCCAGATTCCAAACGATTTCCATTTTTTCCAAACCTATGCTATAAACGTGACTCCCGAACGAAATTCACCAGTCCTTAATGTTGTTTAGCATTTGCCCAAACCGTTTACCGACTGGCTTGCCCATGATATAAGCTATGCGAATTTTCCAAGTCCTTGAGTAACCTGGCGTGTCTCTGTAATAGCGGTAGACGGTCATTAATCCATCTCATACACACTAATCACGCGATCTTCCATTTGGGGAACATACAGCAGCCTTGGGAGGGTGGGCGGGGAAGCTTAGTCCAAACCCGAAGGAACAAGCGAAAAATAATTCAGGCGTTGTAAGCGAAATGCGCGTTATTGCAACGTGTTATTTGACTGTCAAACAGGTTCGCAGTCATGGCCAATAGCTGCGAAACGCTAACAAATACAACGCTAAACGGCGAGATAGCAATACAAACGTGTGTTAGTAATCCGAGGGGTAATCTTATACGGTGAATAAATCGATATTATTAACACCATTTAACTATAGTTAAATATTACTTAATTTATTTCTTGCACAATAATCAGGAGTGTTTGGGCCATATCCGGGCAGCTTAATGTACTTCCATCTGGGGAAAATACAGCTACCCAAAGTCCAGCCCAAATGGAAAGTTAATTAGTGATGTGCAGCAGGTTCATTGAACTTGTAAGGAGTGACGAACTGAAACTCCACAGTGGGTGTTTGTGCAATCTTGCGTGGTATTTCGAGGAAAAATTGAAGGGAGAACGAGTGTACCGTTCATAAGAGTCACTGTTCCATCGGCCTAGGAGTTTGATCTCATAGTCGGTTAAGCCAGCGATGGAGGCGGACGTTGCTCCTTCGATTCGAAAACTATGACCACTGTGGTGGGAGGGGTCAATACTGACTAAGCGTGGTAAGTGAGAGATGAAGGAGACGAGGGATATTTTGCTGACGGGGCGTTGGTCGGAAAGAGCGTCGGTAGCCTTGTCGAACATACCAAAGCGATGCTGAAGAGCGAGGTTCTTTTGCATAGCCCAACCAGCACAGACGGAGCGTCGCGAATGAGCAGTATAAAGGGTCAAAACCTGTCGTCGCTGATCCGTTTAAGATTTTATAAGTCGGTGGGAGAGATACTCCGTTCCAGAAGAGAAGAATGCAAACGTGCGTCAGAGCAGGTGAGGTGAATAGGCAGATCGAAAAGGTCGCGAGAAAGAACTGTAAATTCGCCTGCGCTTAGCATAAGGAAATGACCAGCGGTGATGGCGGCCCATCGCACCGTGTCATCGTCACACGTGGGGATGATAAAAGCCTGAATATCGGAGAGAATGTCGAATGTAAGCGGCATCTTTTACTTCGGTGCCGAAAAATGTTTGCGTTCGATACCACGCAAGGTCTGTTTTAATCGCAATCCAGGTTGAAGTGGATTAGACAGACCGTGTGATATATGCAGAGAGCGCACGGCAGCGAGATAAACATTCATTGTTTGTGGTTTGATCCTTTGGGCGAGATGAGTAGCAAATAAGATAATGGTTTCTTGGGATGCTGGTAAGGGGACCAAGGAAAAATCCTTGCTAAAGTGGAGAAATCGATGTTGAGCACTGTTGTACGTACAATGAGAGGAGTCCGATAGCCCTTCTACGAGATAGTTAGGCGCGTTCACTTGAAGCTGGCCAAGGGTAGAGGTCTTGCAGGCGTTGGAGAACGGGAAGCCACGGGACAGGCGGCCAGGAACTTGTCGATCTGATAACGAGAGAGAGCGTCAGGCTAATGATTATCAAAGCCATCAATGTGGATGGCCACAATATTGTGATGAGCGCAGATGTAAAACAGGAATCAGAGAAGGGTAATAATGTACGTGCATTTTCTAGAACTACTAGACAAAATATGTACTATGGATATGTTATCGCAATGGAACAGAATATTGTGAGAATCAAGGGATGCTGCCCAAGTGTTGACCGCAGCGGTAATGGCGAAGAGGTCCTTGAAAGTAATTGAACGGGAAAGGGGGACGTCGTGTCCGCGAAGGACGCGTAGATCCAGTCGCCTGCGCAAGAGGCACCGCAGCCAGACTGGCATGCGTCTGTGTGAAGATCCAAGAGTGAGGAAGTTGTCTATTTGTCGTCATAGAAGAAGTTACGACCATTCCAGAATGGGAGGAAAATTCTCCACCACAAGAGGTCCTTGTGGAAGACGTGATTCAATCGAAGGTGATGGGCCGGATGGTGAGCTCTGCAGAAGACATCCAACATGCGGCGTAGGAACTTTCTCCTGGGGGCGGCACACAATGTAAATAAAGTTAAGCTTGCCAATAAGGGCAACTGTAGTTGGCGTTTAGTACAATGATGTTTAGTGGACCAGGGAGATCGATGATTTCGGCAAGGCGAGTAGGATCAATGCGAAGTTCCTGGGAGACAGTGTCGAGTTCGATGCCAAGAAGCACAAGGTTCGTTGTAGGAGAAACTGTTTAAAAGGGATTGGTAGCAAATCCAAGGTCAGCACAGGTACGAAGCATAACATTAAGACTCGAAGAGCAAGCGGCGCTTGGTGCAAGAGGGCCACATCCCCAAAACATGGGGGGTAGTTCCAAAGGGGTTCCATGGAGCGCCATCGTGTATCACAAACCGTTGACAAATTTAAGAAATAGCGCCGGCGAACTCCAGAGACCAAACGGAAGTAACATGTCTAAGAAATAACCAGTACGCGTAGAACCGTCAGACATAACGAGGGGCTAAATGGACCCCAAAATCTCCCAGTCACGAGGGTCGACAAGTATAAGGTGGAAGGCGTGATCGAGTTTGCTGATTAGAGCATTGGGACCGAACGATTTAAGGTAAGAGATAGCCTTGTCGATTGAGTCGTAGGAGCAAGTATATAATTCCTTGGAGAATGCGTCGTTAACAGACTGGCCAGCGGGCCTCGAAAGATCGTTAATGATACGCCATTTGGGAGGCTGCGAGTGCTTTTTTGGAATAGCACCCATCGGAGACCAAACAGAATTCGAAAACGTAGGTGCAAGGAAAGGCCCGGCAATTCTGTTCAGGGACAGTTCGTGTTCCAGTTCCTGTGCGACGAGCGCAGGTTTAGCGGTTGCGGAACGGTGATTTGAGGAAATCAAGGGGTACGATCATGATTAAAACCAATACGAACGCCAAAATTAATGTCGTGTAATAATTCTCTTACAAAATTACGGTCCGGGTAGGTACGTAAAGGGTCACGCCAAACGTCAATTGGAAACAGACAGCGAACTTCTGGTAAATAGTAAACAATTGGCCGCGGAGTGGTCCCCCCTGGCAAGACTTGTAAACATTGGCGCATTTGCATTTCTCTGAAAGAGGTTGCATTCTTCTTGGCTGGAGGGGGCGTACAAGTTTGGGTACTTCCACGGGGAATTTTTTCCATTTCCGGTCTTCTTTTCTTCTATCTGTTCTGGTGCGGGAAATCCACAGTCCTTCACCATATGGTCAAAGGACATGGCATTGGCCGGGGTTTTTCTGCCGTGCGGTGGGAATTTTCGGTGTTGACCGAACGCTGACACATCTTTGGCCGTAGGCCGAAGCCACGACAAAAACCGGAAACCGCTCTAGAAAAGTCTCTGGCACTCAGGGTAAGGGGTCAAAAATCTTGATGGCATATACCATCCTGGCTTGAATGTCAAACAGGTAAACAGGGGGCCATTTACGATTAGCGAGTTGTGTTGGATCGCGATAAGAGGCCAGTTCAGGGTACCGGTGGGGATGGGAAGCCATGCCGAGTTTCTCGTTAGCATACCACCCTTGCAGCCACGTGTCAAAGGAATCAATATGTCGCTTTCGGGGCGCTTAGATTTCGTTAGTAAGGCTTGCATATCCTTGAGCTGAGGGCATGTTAGCCGATGCGCATTGCCCCACAGTTGCGAAAAAAAGGCTAAGGGTAGAAAAGCCAGAAAAGTCCATGTACTCACCCTCACGCCTGGTTCAGTTTATCTGTTTCCCAAAAGCATATTAATTAATTGTTCCTTTGATAATTTCGATAGATCTTCCCTATTCATACTAATAGGGTAGATTATTTTATTACCCGACAAACGGGCATGTGGCTCAACGTTTCTCATTTGCTCACTCGTACTATTACTATATATTATATTATTTTTTTCATTTGAACGCACCATCTGCATACAAGTATACGACGCTATCTCTTTAAGTCTCGACAAACCGCCCAAAACCGGTTACCAAAATGCTGACATCAGCAGAAATCCCATAATCGTAACTGAGTGTGAATTCCGGGCGGCATAGCCATCGTAGTTGTGTTTATGTCAGTATCGCCCCGCACTATTACGATTTTGATTTCAAATCAGACCTTTTCTTACCATGGTCACGTGTTGGTCACGCTCCGCGTCCAATTTTTATGCTCTGATTGGTTAAAATTTGACGGGTGAGTTCATGCGTAAAATTTATGCAGCATCTTGAAAGTTGTTTACTTTTGACAGCTGAAGCTGACAGAGTTTTGAGTTTTTTGATGTTTTTAACTGTCTTTTTCCACTGGATGTACAGAATAAAATACAGCTGCTATCAAGAGTGTTCTCTTATTCATGGCGGGTTTGTTTTTTGGGTTTTTTTCGTTGAGAAATGCGTCGCTTGTCAAAGCCGATAATCCGATTTCGGATGGCATCGTTTTTGTTTTTCACCTTGCTGGCTACGTGCGAGAATTATAAAGGCTCACGCGATCCTTGCCTTACTTGATAGCTTTCAGGAGCAGCATCTCGAAATATGGTAAGCCTGAGTAATTATTGTATTTATATCTAATTTCAAGAAGTCCAGCGGCGCAGTTTATGAAGCTAGTTTATGCACGTTTGTATTAAGATTTGACTGATCTGACCTAGTATGAGGTTTGATATAAGCGTAAGCTTACAGAACTTTAAAAAGCCTTTAGACGATATTAATTCACCGTAAATAGAAAGAAAAGACTTTCCGAAGAATATTTAGTTATAATTTTGGCTGTAGAAAGAAAGCTTTGAGCGATTTTCTTGTCCTGAGTTCATCTTT